CCAGCCAGCCAGCGGGCGGGGGAAGATCACCGCCACCCCCTGCTATTAAAATATGCACCACACTTACAGAACTAATGACCTAAGCAGTTCAAGCGCAGGAATCACTAATCAATCAGTCAATCGTTATCAAGATGTTCTTCCCTGGGCAATTTTATTAGCATACTTTGCTCCATTGAAGTAAAAATTGAAGAAACGATTTGGAGCCTTTTACGATAAATATTCTTCTTAAAATTGCTTATATTTTACGCAAAAGTGCAAGTTATTAAAATTGTTATCACTTTTTACATATTGCCCAAATCAACGTTTCGATACCGTATGTAAAAAGAGATAACAATTTGAATAAAAGTTGTCATTTATGACTTAACAAATTTAACTTTGTTGTGTCTGTCTTAAAATCAAAGGACCTAATCTTCCCAGAAATTAAGATATACGCATAAGGCATCCTTAAGTTTCAATTTATTTTCAACCTTCATAACGAAAATTAGACCAGCTTAACTTTTTAAGCGTTCAAAAATATGGAGCTATTTTTGATATAATTTTTGAAAACGTTATTAATGCATTGTTCGTAGTAGCCCCTAAAAATCAAAATCTCTGTTTAAAATTCCCAAGGCCTGGACTTCGTCCCAACCGATAGATGAATATCAATTTTGAAGAAAATAGTCTGAATCTTTCAGGTTCTATAGTTACTACAGACGGACGTTTTGACGTAAACCAATTTTGTGGTGTCAAGGACCTGCAAATCGAGGAGTCTGCCGGAACCTAAGTTTATGGTATCAAGGACCCATATGCTTGGAATCTAACTACACAACTACGAGTAGTTAGAGGAAGTAATTTATTACACAAAGGAATATGATTTATCCACTTTTTCGATATTAGTACCGTTGATAGTTCAATCAAAGATGTTGGCTGATGGGTTGGCCAAAGTTATACAAAGTGTCCGAAGTTACCTCCATTGAGGGTACCATATACCTTTTCCCATTCTCTAGATTCGAAGCGATGCATGTTTTCGCGACTTATCATTTTAGGATGGTGCCATGTAAAGGTTCATTACTATTTGAAGCAGTTATTTTATTGACGTGAAAATGTATTTATGCGCGGATAGTTTTCAGGTCCTATTTATGACGATAACGCACGGAAGTGTACACTAATATTAACTTTTGCTACGTTACCTTTTTTTACTTTTCGTATTTAGCTCAATTTATGTAGGTGTCTTTTTCACATTTCCCACGCTCTTAGTTAATTATTATCGTTGATATTCCTACTCATGTTTCTACTCATGCAGTAATCATTCTTTCACTGTAATTCGTTTCTGACAATCTAATGCATATATTCATATTCGTGACAATATTTATACGCACGGATCATCATTATTTTACGTCAACATAAAAGTCTCCGGCTTGGGTGTTTATTTGCTGCGGAGGTCCTCAGAATGTAAGAAGGTTGTAGTTTGTTCGTGGCAGTTTGTCAGAAACTAGCAGTTTGTTTGTTGCCGTCGATACACATCCCCCAAAGAGCGACTATCTTCTCTGTCACAAGCATTCGTACCAACAAAGATAAACAATATAAACTTCCGACAGAAATAATAAATCTAATACACATCAAAAACAAAACCCGCAGACTATGGTCACAACTAAGAACACCAGGGCTAAAACTAGAACTTAACATACTGTAACGTTTCTCCGTGGTGAATTAAAACCAACTGGTATTATTTAAACAACATTTATTCCTGAACAATTATACACAAAAATCTACAGACACTAAAAACTACTTGGTCTATTTACAGATATATTACACTTAATTATTTTTCTTTACACACGACTCCGTGATTATTTATTTACACAGTTCACTTCTTACACACTATTTATTTACACTGTTCTCTTCTTCTACAGTATCACCCAGTCCGATGCACTGTCCACGGTCCACTGCACTGACCCCAATTCTCTGCGCAGACCACAATTCCCTGCGCAGACCACACTTCACTGCGCACACCAGGGTCCACTGCACTGCTGTTTACCGCGTTTACCGCTTCACAGCTCAACTTCCACTGCAGACTTCAAACCGTTGACTGCTGTTTCCCACTGCTTCACTGTTCACGGCAATGTACACTTCAGAGCACAGCTTTCCCTTCGGACACACTGACGGACTGACTGCTTCTCTGCTACTTCTCACTACTCACTACTCACTGACGTCTTACTTCTCACTGACTCGCGGCGAGGAGCAAATCTGTGCAGTTTTGTGAACGCACTTAAAGTGCAATGCGCGTTCACGCCACCGCGGTGGGACCATTCCTACCCTTACGGGCATCTATGGCCTATCCTGTAACATAAGAGAAAAAACAACGGTCAGAAAGACATTAGCCTACCGGCGCGCGCATTGCGTGTTTTGTAATACTATGTTTATGTCCCAATCCCACTTCTCTGTTTCAGATTGCTCTTACTCCAGAAAGTGTTTCGGTCGCCTATACTTCGCCCTTATATCGGGCTCGTATGAGGCGATCGCGGAAATGAGTTCATTTCTGACTCGCGGCCGCCGGCAGTGGCGCATTTATACCTGCCCGGCGCTCGTCTCCAGGCACTCGGCACATTCTCCGAGGCTTGCGAATTATCCGGAACCGTCCAGTTCGGGGGGAAGGGAAGGGGCGCCGGCAGATGACGCAATCCACGCGCAGCGAATTCCGGCAGGTGATGCAATATTCGTTACAATACTAATAAATATAGTGCGCAAATCAATCAAAATCTTCAATAATCAGCATTTCCAATCACTAAACACTAACAACAAATCCATTTGGCAATTTAAAACAAAATATTAAGAAAAATGAATACTATCCCCCTACTAGACACCCCCACAGGAAAAATGTACACACCTGCTCAGAGAGCCGAAGAGTAAAAGCCAGCTAGCTAATTACTTTGCATCCATATACACCCTGAATGATACTAAACCGTACCCTAGTCATCTCACAATCAACAAAACAGTAAACGAACAGACTTATGGCCCACATCAAAAAATACACTCCACATCACCTAAATAAGTAAATAATATCATCAAATCACTACCTGTCAAGAAAGCCCCTGGACATGATAAAATTAACTATTTAATTCTGAAAAATCTTCCCCAAACAGACATTGCATATTTGACCAATGTCTTCAATATATGTCTCAGACTTGGTTATTTTCCACACGTATGGAAACATGCAATCAATCTTCCAATACAAAAACCAAACAAGAATGCATCCTTAAGAAACACTTACTGACCAATCAGTCTGCTTCTCACGATATCTAAATTACTAGAAAAAATAATATTCAAACAAAAATTAAAAAATATTACTGATGAATCAAGAACCTGTGAAATGACATCCTCATAATAAACCCATAAAATGCCTAGGCCTTTTCTAAGACACCCGACTCAATTGGAAAATCCATATCTACAATATAGTTATTCAAGCAAAAATAAAACTACACCAACTAAAACCAATATTGCTAATTTATTTAAATCAGCTAAACTGCCATACAATACTGCCTTATTGATGTATAAAACTATCATACGATCACTACCATTATATTGTGGTGCCTAGTTTAGATCAGCGCAGGCAAATCTAATACAAAAAACTCCAAATAATCCAAAATCAGGTCCTCCGCACCATCACGAATGCCCCATGGTACATCTCTAATGATCAACTCCATAAAGAATTCCAGCTAGAACCGATAACCAACCATATCGTTTTTGTATTCACCCACTTCTTCCAGAACATCCCAAATATACCCAATCTAACCCCGCTAAGACTGACAAAATCCAATACACAGAATCCGCGACAAGAATAAATTTGCTTTCCATACATTCCAAACGAAATTCTCAGATCTTGTACCAATGTAGATATATTATATGAAAGATACCTCTACCACCCTAGTAGTAATGTAAGTTGTATTTTAAGATTATTAGTAAGATTATTTTAAATTAATTATAAGAAGATATCAGCAATTATGACAAATGTAGAGTGTATTAAACACTGATCTTTAAATTGTCTTATCCAAAGAAAATATATTTAAAAACAACAACAAACAAACAAACAAGCATTCGCGTAGCAAATAACGAATAAAAAACGAGCGTATTCCTACTTGCCAAACAAAGTTGAACTTTGCAATGTAGTGACTGCATGAGTGACGTCACTGCAACCAATTTCTTTATGTTTATTAAGTGATGTGACATCCAAAACACGAAAGTTACTTGCAAACAGATCTTTCTTTCAACAAAAGACAGTTATTAACTAGTGATAAATTGACGACCAATGCACAATGAGCTCCATCGAATGTTTCTCTTCGGAAGGAAATAGCAAGTAATTGATTGATTGGTGATTCTGGGCGCGTCAACTGCTGGGGTCAGTATTTCGTAAGTGTAGGATATGTTTATTCCGTTTAGGAAGTGGCGCAGATTTTCACCCACTGGATATTGATGTCCTGCGCCGACCTACCGTCGGCTAAAGGGGTTTCCCAACTATGTACTCCCACCAGCGGGGCACCGCCCCAGCCGGGACAAGTTCGAAGCTCCTGACCGGTCCCCCGGCGTGTGGGATAGTGTAGTGTGTGTAAGTAAAGGGTAGGTTAGGCCAAGGAATGGGAAGGCGTCTAGAATTCTTCTCCAGATAGCGACAGAACTCGACCTAACTAGCCAGTGTCAAAAAGCCGTGCCATCGTCGTGACTCGAACTTAGGACCTCGCGGCCAGAGGCACTGTAGTAACCCTGAGCCACCCCTACTGGTATACAGCAAGTGAGAAAGGAAGGGTGAGTCTTGAAGGACTTTTGAGTGAGAGAGACATCGGACCAGCTTTCGACTGTAAACGCAGTAAAATCTTTATCAGCTCGCTCGACTTGAACGCAACTACCAAGTAATCACGTTGATAGCGTCGCCCGTTCGATGGGCGCCGGGGTGGGGGGCGTTCGCTGGCGGGGCGTGTGGGCGGGCGCTCCGCAGGGCCGGGGTGGGGGGCGAATCGATGGCGGGGGAGGGGGGCTCCACGCCTGATGCGCCACCCGCCGCCCACGGAGCAGCGCTTCGTCTTCGGCCCCGAGTCAATAGTCCCGCCGACGCAAGCTCTGCGACCGCCGGCTCCACCTCCGCAGCCGCGATGTCTGGCGAAAACAGCTTTGCCCTTGGAAGACAAATTCGCCGTGCAAAGAGGCAGACGAATTTCACGATATTGGCATCTGCAGGGCCCAACAGACTCAATCAGTGTTGAGGCGTTCATAAATATTGTTAATATGAAAATATTTGCTTTGTTTATTTGGTCACGTTCAATTTATTATTGAGTGACAAGATTTAACATTGCATTGTGAGTGTTATCAATCGCGGCAACATGCTTCTTTGCCGTATTGTGGGGTATCGACCCTTCCTTTATGCCACAGTTAGGGTAAGTTTGTGTTTAAATACTGTTGCTGCAAGATTGCTGAATGAATAGAATATAGACCACTTGTATTACTTGCAGCACCAGCACATACTCATTAATGCAGTATTTGCAATGTTTGTATAAACATGGGCACCATCAGATCATACAACGTAGACGCCAACAGTAAGCCTCACCCTATTAAAATAATGAAAACATCCTCCACTCGTTCGTATTCTTTTCAATAAATATTTCACATAAACGGTATAAACAATTTCAATATTAACAGTTTTAATTATATGGTGAACTTTATTTTGGTTTCCTTTCCAAAATTTTGCGTTTGTCCATTTTACATTCAACGCACCAAGGGGTTTTATATAAACTGTTATACAGTATTTTCATTATGAACTATTTAGTATTGTTACGATAAATTGATTAGCTATTCCTCTGCATTTTGATTCTTACTGTGTACTTTATTCCCTTCCTCTGCCATCTATTGGTGAAAGTAAATCTATATTCAAAATAGATCAATACGTAATGCATGCTGCACTGGCACTTACTTAACTTGGTTTGTCTACAATAATTTTTCTTCTATAAAATTTACAAGCACAATCTTATTCAATGATTTCCTCTCATTAAAAAAGATCAAAGAACATAAATGCGCCTTATTAGTGTTTCATTGTGTAGGGTTTGTAACCAAGATATATCAAGGTATAATAAAGTTGATTTTTTTAAAACACGCTCTCGTGAAAGCACTGATAAATAAATTTGAACGAATGGAGAATTTTCCAAAATTATTTAAAAATACGTTGGTTTGACACTCATATAATTTCCATAGAGAGGCAAAATCTTGACTAAATTTAATTAATGAAATAGTGTAATACATGCAAGAATATTTTAACTTGGAGGCACGATAGCATATTTTGGCAATCATTACAATAATTTCCTTCAGCCTCACACCCAAAAAACTTGAGATGTACTTTTTTTCAGCCTTACAATAAAAACTTTCTCTGTTAAATCGTTCATAGTAATATATTCTCCAAAATACATTTCAATACAAACTAGTTATGTGATGCGTGCTTCGTGTAACCATGTCAATGAAAATGCCGAGCTGATGGGGGATTAGAATATACAGTCAATGGTTTATGAGGAAGGAAGATGTGAAAACTTACCTGGTGAACTCTCGAATGATATGGAAAAATATACCCAACTTAAACGAGAATTCAAAGTTTGAATTTTCGAAGTTTCTGACTATCGCATTCTATAATGCAACTGGTTATATCACGTGAACAACATTTTATTGCACGTTCTTCAACTATACCGATCTTAGGTTTTCCATGTATGTAGAAATACATGTTATCATCACAAGAATTCACTACGTGCACATCACAAGAAACAAAATAATGGCAATAATTTAATTTTTGGTTCTTTATATAACGTAAGTATTTTCTATTTTCAACCTAGATGGTTTAAAATATTTTACTTTGACTTTTTGCAAATATTACAATGTTGCGATAATGTAAAGAGAGGTGACACGAGAAAATCAACAGCGAGTTTATTTGGTTTATAACAAATTTGTGTGAACCGTTCTGTGTGGTAAATGAAATACAGAGTTTTTTATGTTTTCATGAAAGATTCGCTATTTTAAATTCCAATACTAAGGACGGGGTGTGAATGTGACCCTAGGGCTACCCCAGCTTACTTAATAGGAAGTTGTTAATTCCGATATTTTCGTCTGAGACAAGTGTATTATATAGGATGTAATACTACATGACAATGCATGTATCTACAATTACCTCGGAGACCAAAAAATAATCGATTATCATCATTAAAACACTAGTCGGAAATTTTGAAGATAATAAGTATTCTTCATAGTGGCGACGCTACAAATGGAGGCACCTGAGGCGGGAAAGTTGACGCCACTCCTTTCAGTTATTTCCTTTCTTGTTTAAGTATGTTAAATTATTATCGATATTTATAATTCATTGTTTTATTTAGTATTTTATAATACATTGACATTATTGTAAGTTGATATTTTCTTTAATGTTATTAGTTAGATCTTTAGTAAAATATGTAGCAATAATATGGTTCAATAAATTAAAAGAATATGCAAGAAGAAACTTGGGTAATTTTGTGACCCTGGTTGAGCGTTCAGTTCAGCTCTAAACAAAGAGACAAACAAAACAACACAAAGAGACAAGAACAAAGGAACAACACTTCACGAGATTGATTCAGAAATATGGATCGTTTCGAGGTGAAACTGTTGGCCCAACAGTTCGCATGTGTAATCGGAATATCATGTATCATTTGACGGATTATCTTTGAGGATGAGTAAATAACATCCTAACGGTATTTAGGGCAAGTTTGGTTACACGATGAGTTCAGTATTTGCGGTGGGAACCGATGACATTTCAACCGTTTCAATATTTAACTAATTTACTTTAATAAATTCATTAAACGATTGTCATAACGAATACAAGAGAGTGTGATCACTTTCAGTCTGTTTCAGTGTGCATAAGCCCTTTGGTGGGTATTTTATGAAACTTCTGTCAGATGCACACGACATGTGAAGTGATAAAGTGCATTTTTTGACAATTTTAGAAGTGGCAGAATTAGAAGAAATCAATGTACTACTTTGCAAATTAAACTTCAGTTGAATTTATGTTTATACTACTTTGTGGTTGTGAGTTTTAATTTCAATCATACAAATATATTACTGTTATAAAAAAGGGTAAAAATACAGAAAAAATCCTCTTTGCTGAAGTGCATTCTGATAAATGTCTTGCATTCTGATTGGAGTCTAACGAATAAATAAAGATAAAATTAAGTTGTAATTAAGGAATTGTAGGGATTTATCACGTTACCCTTTCCGACGGAAAAAATTACGCTTAAACATTTGGGATTATTTCCTAGAACAATATGAGTAAACTTATAATAATTAATGATGTTTTGTTTATTAAATAATGGACATTCAAAACCAAAAATATGTTTGGGAAGAATTTACCGACTCTGAGATAAAAAAAACGAATTTCATTAAATTAACCCTAGTCCAAGTGTATTTCCCCATAATTAGAATCCAGAATCGGAGGTTCTCACATTTTCTTCTGCTCGTTATGCTATTGGAACGAAACAAAAAATGTGTGATTTTAATTTTCAATAAATATATATTTGTTTTATTTGTGTTTGTTTAATAGGCCCGTAAACATTCTTGTAAAATTACTATGTAGGTGTTTATAAATATTTTAAAAAAAACATTTACTTTATATCTTAAAAGCGTGAACAATGTAAAATTTCTTATATCTCGGACATAACATCCAACATTCTTTTACCAACATTATACATTGTACCAGTCGTCTTGTTCCTGATGATTGGGGTTCAGCAGAGAATCAATGACCTCTATCTCGGATCCTCCAGGAGGCCAATGACCTCCATCTGGAGCAGTTTTTTGTGCAGTTTCTCTGATGCTTTGAGTGAATGCTGAGATGGCTTCTGTACATCTGAACATAAACGTAGCTATGTTCACTCTATGTGCGCGTTTTCTCGAGTTGTGTGGGCCTATTCCGTAACGAAGGACATCGAAAATTAGTACCTGATTTGCCTTTGCAAATTGAATCGAGCGAATATTCTCTTAGTTCGTTGCTACCTATATTCGTAATTCAACTTAATACGTAAACGAGCAATGGCAGAGATCCCAGTGCTCCGGAGACCGTGCAGAAATTGCACTTCTTGCCATAGTACGTCAACGGTTTTTAACTGTTTTGACGTTAAATAATTAAAACTATCTAGACAGTGTAGCCACGTTTTACTGCCATTGCCACGTTCGTGCGACATGTTTTCTTGACAGATTTCAGTTCTACATTTTCAATATTTTACTGTTCGATATCTATTCTGTCTATATAGTTCTAATGAAGTCATATTTTGATATTAGACCCACAAATGCGTGGCAGAATGGCTCAGCTGATTCGATGTTGTATCCCCTTCATTTATTCATTCGAGTTAGTGGCAACAAGAGAAGATTGTGTCACAGGAAAAGCTACTGCTATTGCGTGTCACTTGGAAACCACTGTCGGCGTCATTACGTGACACTCAAATCTCAAGAACAAAGAAGTATTATGGTACAACGTATATACTATTTATAAATTTGTTTCGTATTATTTTTTTTACGAATTTCATTAGTTAAATGTAGGGCAACTAATACAAGGTAATCCATAAAGTATTTGAAGTAAATAATCGATAGTTTTTACAGAAATCTTATTAGTACAAACATATACTATAATCCAATTCTCTAAAGAAAACCCCTAAAAAGAAAGACATATTCGATTGACTTCAGATTTAGGTGATAAAACCACTAATATGACAAAACTGGTTTCTTTTCGTGAGAGAAATGTATCGTTTTTAGGTAATTGAGAAATGTTTCCTAAAATTGGGTAGAATTGAATAATAAAAATAACAATATGAACAATTCTCAGAATACTTTAGAACATTTTAGTCTTTGTTGCAGGTTATATTATTTATGTCGATCTAATGAAACTGAAAGAATTACACGAGTAATGATGTATGGTATGGACTATGGCGATGAAAATTAACAAAGACCGATGCAAACAAATCAGATTCAAATTCCAAACGCTCAAAGTCATGGATTTTTGTTGGTTAAATATATCTCGCCGCTAATGCCACATCTTCCAACTTTGTCGCGACTTGAATCAATATAAGCCAGCGTTGGCAAATAAATCCTCTTTTCTAAGAGATTAAAATGGGCTCATTCTATTGAGATATGTTTGAAATAATTCTATAAAAGTATTTTTCTGAAATGGTTAGTTGAAAATACACTATTTTGTTTTGTTTTTTGCTTGTTTCTTTTTTCAAAATTAACAACTAATGGTCTTACGCGAAAATCTTAGTCATACTATACAACGTCGCTGCAAGGGTTCAAGCAGACCCCTGCATCTCAAAAACTATTCATCTCTGAAGTTACAATAAAAAAAAATCCTTTGAGTCACGCGGGACTCGACATACAGAATTCATCA